GTCCTAATGGCTTCTCAAGCATCTTTCCAACCAATTTGACTTTTACTGAGAGCCAGGTCCTCTGGGTTGTGCCTTTCCTACACTGTTCCTGTCACTAGGGCACTGAGCTTTTCATCTGTTCAGTCCCCTCAGTTCCAGAGCCTCTGGTCTCCTCCCCACTCTGAGTTCCTTTTAGAATTTTATATTTCCACAAAATCAATGCCTTGGCATTTGCCAAAAGTAACACTATTAAGGTTTGCAGAAACAGCCCCAGCAAAAAATAATAAAGTTTCCATTAACTTCATAATGTGCCTTTATTTCCAAGTCCTAAGTTTCCCCTCTACAAACCTCAAATGAGTGGCAGATCAGTTAGATACAAGGTAACACAGTCTTCACCATGATGGGTCTGAGTTCAATTACTATAACAAAGTTCTTAGTTTCTGAATAAAATTTTTTCATCTGTTCTGTTTGAAAAGGTGTTGAAGTCTGCCCTTGAAACTAAACATAAAAAACTCCCATTTCAGACTGGCAGCAGGACCCATCTATACCTTCCCAAATGCCCCCAGGAAGATGGACCTAAACAAGCCAAAACCTAGGGAAGCAGAGGGAGAGTGAACAGGACAAAAGCGTTCTTAGATTTCAAAATTTCACCAGCAACTTTTAAATAACTTGTCATGATGTGATCCATTTCTGGTTGCTTCTTTCAAAGGTATCACTCTATTAGCTGGACACAGTGGCTCACCCTTTAATCCCAGCACTCTGGAGGCAGAAGCAGATAGATCTCTGTGAGTTCACGGCCAGCCTGGCCTACATAGTAAGTTCCAGGTCAGCTAGCCCTACAGGAAGACCCTGTCTCAAAAAGAAGAATTTTTTTTAAAATAAAAAAGTTGGAGAGATGGCTCAGCGGTTGAGAGCATTGACTGCTCTTGCAGAGGACCCGGGTTCGATTCCCAGCACCCACATGGCGGCTCCGAAACGTCCTTAACTCAAGTTCCAGGGGAATCCGAAGCCCTCTTCTGACCTCTGCAGCATTGCACGACACAGGTGTACTCACATGCATGCAGGCAATACACTCATACACATGAAATTAAAATAAATAAAATATTTTTTAAAAAAAGATCACTACCCTCTGCTCCCTACATAAGTTTACAAATGATAAACTAACATTCCCTTTCTTGCTACTCAATCTACCTAGTCACCCACCTTTTCAAAGTCAAGTTCAAGCCTACTTCCATTTGTACTCATATTTCTTAGCTGAACTTAACATGAACCACATATGACTCCATAAGCATGTACCATCTTGCCATTTTTGTTTTGTGTACTGGAGTTCAATCTTAGAAGCTCTAGCACGCTATGCAAGAACTCTACTACCAAGTTACAATCCCAGTCTTTTTTATTTTACAACAGGGTTATCACTATGCATAGTCTAGGCTAACCTTGAAGTCACTCTGCAGGTTAATGTCTTATAAATAACAACTCCTAATCCCAGAAATTTAGGGACTCTTGTACAGTAATGTCCCAATTCAAAATGGTTATATATCAAGTTTAAACTACAGCCCATAAAATTAAACCCTGTAGATAAATTATCTTCTAAACTAAGATTCAAAATATCATCACCTCATACAAAAGTACTCAGGAGGCTGAGGCAAGAAGGTTGACACAAATACATGGCTAGCCTGGGCTACACAGTAAGAAGGGAGGGAGGAAAGAAATGAATAGAAAAGGGGGGTCCTAAGGATATACGTTAGTAGTGGTAGGACTTGCCTAAAGGAAGCATGAGGCCTCAGGTTCATATTCCTAGCACCATGGGGGTTGGGGGGGGGTGTTTAGTCTCTTTGTTATTTGAGCTTCTTGAGTTAATATTTACCTTCACCTTGGACCCAACTTAGGGATAGAGCCAAGGAGAAATACTTGTGGAAAATACAACGGAATCATGAGAAAATCAGAAGCACTACACTGTGAAGGAAAAAAGTAGAGAAAAATCCCATGGCATTCAAAGCTGGAGGCTAGAGAAAGCAGGACAAAGGATAAATTTCTCAAGCCAAGCAGGGTGGCACATGCCTGTAATCCCAGGACCTAGGAGGTTGAGGCAGAACTGCTCTAAATCAAAGGCCACCTGAACTACACGGTAAATTCACGGCTAGCTGGGATACACAAAAAAACCCTTTCTTGAAGGGAGGAGGAAGAAAAAGGGAAATGGTTTCCAATTCCAAAGAAGGGCAGATAAGACACATACATTGACATAAAAAGAATTTCTCTGGCCGGGCGTGGTGGCGCACGCCTATTTTAATCCCAGCACTTGGGAGGCAGAGGCAGGCAGAGCTCTGTGAGTTCAAGGCCAGCCTGGTCTACATAGTGAGTTCTAGGACAGCTGGGGCCACAGGGAGACCCTGTCTCAAAAAGACCAAAAAAAAAAACTATGACTATAAAAAAAAAGTTTTTTTGCTACAAACTCAAAATACTTTTTGGCAGAATAATTATCACTATTTAGCACACCACCCTTGGCAACCAACTGTATTTACAAGGCTTTTTCTCCATTTGCATTTCCCACATACAGGTTTTGGAAGAAATCAATACCCTTTATCACATTTTACCTTTCTTCCCCTGAAGCAAACCAAGTGATCTACATCAGTGTAACAGTTGATGATGCTAAATCACAGAAAAGCAAAAAACATTCCACTTTTCATTTCACAAACGAAAAAAAAAGTTCAGATAGGAAATCAAATTCCCCAGGATAGCCCCTGAGCACAGAACTGTATGACTGGCTCTCTGCCTCCAACCACAAAGACTTGTGACTTCAGTGGTTCCACAACACAAATACAGAAAACTGGGAAAGGGTATGCAAGTGACTCAACTTTGGGGAACAGTGCACCACACCCATCTTCTAATGGAAGGAAGCCTTAGGTCAACAGTGAGCAGGGCACCAGGGATGATCAATGAATCCCTTCATTCCTTCTAACTTTATGTACTCAAGTGAGTGACTGTGTGTGTGTGTGTGTGAGAGAGAGAGAGAGAGAGAGAGAGAGACAGAGAGACAGAGAGACAGAGAGACAGAGAGACAGAGAGCCTGCCTGGCCCATGCTAGGCAAGTGCTCTACTAGTGGGCTACATCTCCAGCCCTTTTCTAGTTCTTAAACTTTTTTTTTTTTGGCCATACTATATTGGCTAAACCTTCCAATACAACACTAAACAGAAGCCAGAAATTATAGTATCTATATGTAATTCTAAATTGTTGGAGACTTGTTTTTGTGTTTACGGGGGCTGCATTGGTTTTGTTGTGGTTTTGTTTGTTTTAAGGCAGATCTCAATATAGCCCTGGCTGGCCTGGAATTCGATATATAGAACAGGCTAATCTCAAATTTGTAGAAATTCGTTCACCTGCCTCTGCCTCCTGAGTGCTGGGATTAAAGGCACACAGTAGATAATTCTAAATTTAATAATGCTCCTAAAATTTTACTACTAAGCATTGTTTTTTTTAGATTAGTATATATTTTAGGGGCTGTTTTTGGTTTGGTTTACATATTTAGTTTATCAAAATTCCTTCCTAGTGGGCATGTTTCATACCTGTAATCCCAGCAGGACTCAGCAGGCTGTGACAGCCTGGGCTACATATTGAGTTAAGGGTGACAGGGTAAGACCTAGTCTCAGGAAAAAAAAAAACGAGGGAAAGGAGCAAAGGAGTGGCGAGATCCCTTCCTGCGTCTGGATCTCTGGTCTTTAGAACAGGCTAATCTCAAACTTGTAGAAATTCGCAAGTTTTTAAACTTTATTTTTAAACCCCTCTTCCCTCCTTCATTCAGTTCCCTCCTATTCGCTCTTCACCTCCGTTATTTCGCCTCCCAAAGCAAACGACACTGTATTTTGGGAATTACACACTCTTTCAACTCTCCACACCAAAGCATTTTAATGCTGGCAACTGAAAGGAAATCCCAAGACAAACATCACGTGGAGATCTCTTCGTTCCACCTCTCTTAAAAACCATTCTTCAGTATTTTCTACTCTTTAAAATAAAAACTAAGAAAAAGCGCAGCCTGATTCCAGATTGTTCCTGTTCCCGATCTCTACACACCGACTCTCGAAGATTTTAAAGAAGTTGCAGGGGAAGCAGCTGGACCCAGATGTTTCTAATCTCTCCCTCTCTCCCTCTCTCCCTCTCTCCCTCCCTCCCTCTCCCTCCCTGGCTAAACTCTCAGGGAAAAATAAAAAAGAGGCGAGGCGGGTTTCCCAAAGCCAAGACCTCAGTTTTGAGGGGCAGGAGCTGCAGCGGGCGAGGTGGCATCTCTCCAGAGCCCCGGGAGGCTAAGAATCCCAACAAAAGCGCGCACAGGGAGGCGCGGAGCAGCCAAAGGTTGCATCATGCGAGAACGCCCAGCGCTGGACAATCAGCAAAAGCAGACGCTGCAAAAGCAAACCGGGAAAACCCACCCGGGGCCGGGAAAGCCCACCCGGTCCTCCCGAGTCCGGGCCATCCGCCCTCCGCTTTCGTTTCTTTTCTTGGGTTTTGTTGGGGGGGGGGTAGCCCAGGCTGGCCTCCAACTCAAGGCAATCTTCCTGCCCCGTTCTCTCTACCAGCGTGAGACTCCACAGTCCTGTCTGTTGAGAAGGGTCGCACGTTAGCTCGGGCTGGCCTTGAGCTCACCATGTAACCAAGGCTAGCCTAGAACTGACCCGCCCGCCTCCACCTCCCGAAGGCTGAGGTTTTTTGTTTTTTTTTTTTTTTCTTCTTAAGATTGCATCGAATTAAAGTTTCCGTTTCGACTGCCGGGCGCAGGCGTTCGCGGTGCACGGCCCGCACGGGGCGCGCGGCAGGGGCTCCGGGGTGGGGTGGGGTCGGACTCCGGGCGAGGAGGTGACAGGACCCCGGACGCCGAGCTGGCGGCCGCGGCTCCCGCCCGGCCCCGGAGCACCCGCTGCGCGGCGGGAAGCCCAGACAATAGGGCGCGGGAGCCCGGGCAGCCACGGGCCGCGCGGGGGCGCTTCGGGGCGCAGGGGACCCGGGCGGGCAGGCGGCGGGCGCTCACCTTGACGAAGAGCTCGATGAGGGGCTCTTTGTCCTCCTCCTTCAGCCCGTTCAGGGGCATCGACAACGCCATAGCCGGCTCGGCTGGGCTCGGCGCGGCTCCGGGTCTCTGGCTACTTTGGATGCGGGTTCCCGCCGCGCCGCGCTGCGCTCGCTGGACAGTCCCGGTGTCAAGCTACCCGCCGCCTCAGTACCTCAGCACCGCCACACACCCGAGACGCGCGATTCTGAGGGGGGGATAGCCGTCCGAACCGCTTCAAACCACATCGGGGGTGGGGCCGCGGCCGGGCGCTCCGGACTCTTCCGCGGAAATGGGAGGACCAGCGCCTGAGGGGCGTGGCTTAAGGAGGGCGCAACCACTAGGGAGCCTGGAGGCCGCCGATGGGCGTGGCTTAGTTGCGGTTGGGCGTGGACAAGGCCAGGGCCACGCCTCTCCAGCGGGTGGCTTGGGGGTTGGAGGGAGTGCCCCAGCCGGAGCCTGACACCGCCTCCCTCCGCGGCGCTGGCGCGTCCTCCGCAGCTGCCGCTGGTTGGGTGCCAAGTGACCTCATGCCTCGGCCCGCCTGGGGCCAGGGGGCGGGGAGGCGGGGGAGGAGGTGCCTGGCGCCCTCGCCCCTGGCCGCAGCCCCCTCTCAGCCCGTCCCGCAGCGGCCACATCCCCAGCTCCTACTGGTCCCTACTGGTAGCGGGGCTGACTTTTCCAGGAAAACTTGCGAAAGTTTTCGTGTCCTTAAGAAGTACGGTTTTTTTGTTGTTGTTGTTTTGGGTTGTTTTTTTTTTTCGGTCTTTTTGAGACAGGGTCTCCCTGTAGCCCAAGCTGTCCTAGAACTCACTATGTAGACCAGGCTGGCCTTGAACTCACAGAGATCCACCTGCCTCTGCCTCCCGAGTGCTGGGATTAAAGGCGTGCCCCACCACACCCGGCCCAAGAAGTACTTTTTGAACTTCATCTGACTTCGTGCTTCCTTTCGGGATGCTGCTAATATTAGAAGTCTAGACATCCTTAAGTGCTTATAAAGCCGTGCTGTGTTCCAGGCTCCGAGTTATAGGATTGGACCCCTGTGCACCGTGCACACGGAGTTCAGGGTCTGGAACCGCAACCCCGGCTGAGGCTGAGCAGACTCCCAAGCCGTTATCCCCGCTGCTTTTCCTGAATGAACCCATCCCACCTGGCGAACTTTATGTGCATCTGAGCCACCTGAGTGCCTGCCTCCCTCAGCACGCCTTTATCGGACTCTGACTCTTAAACACTTAAAACGCCTGGGTACAATTAGGAAGAGGTTGTCCTCAAAGTTCCTTAAGACCCTGAGGGCAGAGGCCAGAGTGCTTTGAACCAGGCATGTGGTCTGCCAAGGAAAGCCTGGAGTGGATGTCCCCTATAGAAACATGCCTTCTGGCTTTCCTTAATTTTAGACTCACTGTCACCCTGTGCCACCTCCCAGGTTAGAATGACAACTGAGTGGATTGGGAAAGCCAAATGTGGAGGGTGGGGGGATTCAGCCAGTATCAGAATACTTGAACAAACTGAACCAGTCCTGAAAATATGGTGCAACTTTTACCTCTGCTTGCCTATTGCAAGTTGCTCAACTTCTCTTACAGGGACTCTTAAGGGGCAGTGACTCTGTTAGAGATGCAGTGTACTCCAGTAATTAAGAAAAAGCTCTTGACAATGGCCTTAAACACCCTAAACCTTGGCCTGGCTTCCTAACACAAGCCTGGTAGTCAGGCTCGGTCAGGAGGGCTGCAAGTTCATGGACAGCCCGGGAAGAGCACTGTCTGTTCCTACAGAGGATCAGGATTCGAGTCCCAGCACTCCCATGCTGGCTAACAACCGGCCTTAACTCTGGGTTCTGTTGGAACCGGAATCCATTGCACATCACAGGTGCACTTACACACATGCAGGCAAAACACTCATACACATAAAATAAAAATAATAAATTTTTTTAATTGGAATAAAGACTGCTCAGCAGGTAAAAGCATTTGCCATGGAAGTCTGACAGCCTGACTTTAATTATGGGGGGAACCCACATAAAGGTGAAAGGAAAACACAAACCACAAAGTTGTCCTCTGATCCCCCCACAAAGCACCATGACACACACCCATACAAACATCATACACACACAATGCTAAAAAAAATTAGTAGGTTAAGGCTGGAGATGTAGGTCAGCTGGTAAAATGTTTGCCTATCATATACAAAGCCTTGGGTTCAATTCCCGGCACTGCATAAACTGGGTGTAGTGTTCCATGCTTGTCATCCCAGCGCTCCAGAGGTAGAGGCGAGGATCAGGAGTTCAGGGTCACCCTCACTATGTAGTAAGTTTGAGGCCAGCCTGGGCTTCATGAGATTATGTCTCAAAAAACAAAAACTAGAATAAAACCCGAGACTTCTTTTCCTTATCTAGAATTGAAGGGTGGGGCTAGTCATGGTACTGGGTGGTTAGTGATAACTGTTATCTGCACTGCAGCTTCTGATGTCCTGTCTACTCCTACAGACGAGGACAGCATCATATTCAACTCTCTTAGTGGCCAGCTTGTTTGTTGAAAAGAAATGCCAGGAGGCCGCCCTTTAGATAAAAATTTGAACCAAAAACAAACTGAAGTGACAGCTGGACTCTGAACTGAGCCTCGTGTTAATCTTTCATGGAGTTGTGAACAGAGTTAACATTCTCTTGTGGCCTCCCCCTCTGCCATGATCCCAATGGTGAATAAGTTCAAAACAGATCCAAGTCAAAAATGACCCAGCACAACCTGGAAGACCCCTAAACCAGCCCAAAGACCAGAGAATCCATTGCTTCCCACATCCTGAGTCACAGCAGAGGATTTATCCAAGCCAGTTTTCATCCCTGAACAGCCCAGGTGTATCCAGCCTGACCCTGGCTCACAGCACCCTGGTATAGAGATAGCCCAGACTTGGTAATAGCAGATCAGGGTTCTTTGGGCCTTGACTATACACAGATCTTAGCTATGAAGAAGGCTGTGCCATTCTTCTCTTCCAAGTCCTGAGGTATGGGAGCTCCAGGACGGCCTTTGCCCACCCAGAAACCCCCACGTTCTATCTCACAGTCAGAGCCTGTACCTAGAAATCTGGTCCTAGTCATGCCAGAGTCCACCCCCCATATGGCTTGTGGTCATGGGCAGCACGAGTCTGGGAGGGGGAGAAAAGATGTTTATGAAGGTTCCATAAGGCCTTGCATACAAGTCACCTTCCAACTTTGAAAGGCAAGCCTATTTTACACCCTTGGCCTGTTTGTTTTTATAACACACAAAAATCTCGAAGATGGGTGGAGGTGTGTTCTCTACACATACCCCTCTGACCTCATCCTCCACTGCTCTTCTCCCTTGTGTGCCCCACCCCAGCCCCACCAGCCTCACCTCATGGCTAATCCTCCTAATCCTCAGCTATATCAAGCACTCTACTGCTTCAGGGCCTTTGCTCTTACCCACCTCTGGACCATCCTTCCCGGAATTCCCACAACTCTCACTCCTTCTCAGTCCTTCAGGTCTTTACTCAAATAGCATCTTCTCAGGGACCTCACTGGGTACCATCTGTGCAAGCTCCAAGAACGCAGTACTCATCCAACCTCCGCTTTCTTCTTCTCCAGAGTATGCGTGTGTGTGTGTGTGTGTGTGTGTGTGTGCGCGCGTGTGCGCATGTGTACCTAAGAGTACCTAGAGTCATCTGAGAGGAAAGCCTTGATTGATGAATTGCCTAGATTGGATTCGCCTGTGGGGGAATTGTCTGGATTATTAATTGATGCTGGAGGACCCAGGACTATAGGAAGCCCTATCCCTGGGCAGGTGATACCCAGCCGGGCCTGGTGGCGCTCGCCTTTAATCCCAGCACTCAAGAGGCAGAGGCAGGCAGATCTCTGTGAGTTCAAAGCCAGCCTGGTCTACAGAATAAGTTCCAGGACAGCTGGGGCTATAGGGAGACCCTGCTTCAAAAAGACAGAAAAAAAAAAAAGAAAAGAAATCTAAGTACCCACAAGTGTGTGAGTGAGCTGGCAAGCAGCATTCCTCCATAGTTTTTGCTTCAAGTTCCTGCCTGGGTTCCTACCCTGACCTCCCTTAGCAATGGACTGACCTGGAAGTATAACCTCCCCTAGGTTTCTTTGCTCGTGGTGTTTGTCACAGCAACAGAAAGGAAACATATATACATTTATGTATATCATGTGTATATACGTGTATGTGTATCTTGGGAACCATATATAGAGATAAATATAGATACAGATAGATAGAGAGAGATCTATCTTATTCGTCTATTTCTTGTCTATCTCCCTGCCTCCCCAACATCACACACACTCCTTTAAGGCAGAAGTTTGTTGGATTTTACTGAGAGCTTTATTTCTGATTCATCAATAGAAACGTACAGAATGATGAAGCCAGTCCTGGTGGCACACACCTTTAATGCCATCACTCAGGAGGCAGAGGCAAGAGGATCTCTGTGAGAATGAGGCCAGCCTAGTCCACAGAATGAATTCCAGGCCTGCTGGGGCTACAGGGAGAGCCTGTCTCAAAAACACCAAAAATGTTTTAAAAAGTACATTTATTTATTTGTTTGTATATATACAGAAGAATATACAGACTGAATGACTGGGCCCTGTGGCCTGTGGTTGGGTGACTTTCCTGGGAACATTCCTAAAAGAGAAAAAGACATCTATTCACTTGCAATAGAAGGACAGGGGCCACAGCAAAGAAAGATCCCATCATGTCCAGCTTGTGAATGAGTGTGTTTGCTGGGGTTACTTCCAGGAGAATGCTGATTCACAAGCAGTTGATGCTGTCTATGTTTTAGCATTTCCAAAATGATACTGAGCTAGCGCAGGAGGAGAGGTGGTTGGAATCTCAGGGGAAGGTCAGGAGAAGGTCTTGTGAGGGTCTTGTGACCTTCCATCCCCTTTTCTGAGAAGGAGTGTTAACAGCCCCATCACCTTAGATCCAGCTATCTGATGTATAGGTCTGTTTATTTCGTTGCCGTGACTACAGACCAAGGTCTTCCCTGAGTCACAACAGCTGCCCTGCTCTGTGATGGCTATGACAAGCCTAAAGGACACATGTTCACTATACCTATTACACCGTGGTTTCATGGCCTGAGAACCAGATGGCTTCTGTTTCCTTACGATCACCACCTCAAGTGGGCATGGTGGTACACACTTGTAATCCCAGCACTCCAAGACTGAGGCAGGAAAGTATCTGCAAGTTGTAGGGCAGCCCTGGGTACATAGTAAGACCTTGTCTCAAAAATGTAAG